ACAAATAATCTGCCTTCAAATGGAAACAAATCACAGTACCAATCAGTGTACATCCACATATTTTAAAATGAGCATTTTTCAGCTTTAGATTCTAGGTATTCCATAAGAAAGCTTCTAGAGTAGACAGAGTGATAGGTGATATAGTAGATATTATGGAAGTGTCCACAATCCTATTGATTTAGTATTATTTGTAAACATGTTTCATCATGCAGATTTCTTAATTTAGAAACCATTCAAATAAATGAACAAAATTCAAAGTTGCAATCAGCTTCAAATTATTGTACAATTAATTAGCACACAGAAACGATCCAATTCTAAAAACTTTACTTTATGTTTGTTGTAATACATTCTAATAATCTCACAGATAGTTCTCTTTTTGTCAATTATAGTCAGTCAGTCAGTTGCAACGTAGAACTTCGTACGTAAGTACATCAGTTCGAATTGCCATACCACATTAGCACAGAGATATAATTGTCAATTCAAATCCCACAGTAGTAGAGGTAGTAATTTGTCAACCATACCCAATATAAGTATGCGCTATATATTTTAAGAATAAGAATTTTATCACATAACTTACCATCTTAGTTTATTGAAACATTTGATAAACTATTTCAATCATGTATTCAGTATTGAAAGGTATAGAAATTTTAAGTCGGAACAATACTATGTACGGTTTCTTGTTGAGTGTTTGACATTCACAGTACATATCAGATATTAACATGATATAAAAATATTTTATAATAATAATTGACCACACTGATGAATTTATAAATTCACTAGCCAGATAATAAAAAGGCATAGGATACGTTTGCAGGGTTATTTTTCAGTGACCGACATCTTAAATGTTACACTTATTAGTAACATTGGGTACTGGGAGTATGAATCGCACATGCGGTATCAACTGTCCCAAGATTAGAAACACGTGTTTAGACTTAGGACTTCCTGTTGATTACCTCTACCCACCGAACATATGTTTTACTATCAATAAGTCCTTTTGGTAAGAAGCATTAATTCCTAAAACTTGAGATACTAGATAAGGAAATGAATGTTTTCTATGAACACTTTTATTATATTTACAATTGTTATTTGTAAAAGCGTTCAAAAGAAGATGAGAGGAATTCATAGCGAGATTAACTCAATGAATTTCGTTTTACCATAACATTGCAGACAAAAACGTATATTTAACGGACTAGTTATTGTCTCTGTGAAGGGCATCTTTGATCATCTATAGTGGGCAATCAAACAGACAGTAAATGAAAACGCATTAGTATTAGGACCAAAGACCGATTCACTTAGTAAAGTAAAATATCGTCCAACAGTCCTAAGATTTTATGAAACAACAGTGTGATTAAGCAGACTACCATGTGTTTTATTCACAATTACCTTAATGTTTATCTACCGATTTAATTGCAGATATCATGATTAAATCAGAATTTTTTCCCAAGCTGCCTATCTAGTCAAACCGAAAAATATATGCAGTAAAATTTTATATGTTCAGTCGGCACCTTTGTATGTAAAAGAGACAAGCCAACTCTTTATTCACATAAATAATATCGAAATACTAGTACACTTTGAAACAATAGACAATCGGGCATGTGTAATTACAAAAAGGACTGTAGAACTTTGGTAAACTAAATCTTTCACAAAAATGGATCCTAACTTTTGAATATGCCACCATGTTGTCAGACATTAAAATACAATTAGAATTCACTTGGTCTAGACTATGGTTCACTCATCTTATTACAGTTGAATAGCTTAGCAGTATATGCCAAGAAATATTTTTCTCATTCAGTTTAAAAGTATATGATCAATGTGTATACACGCCATTGTAATGCGACCTTTATACACTGTCGGTCAGTTGCATAATGAGTCATTTAATAAACCGTGATACAGAATAGTGTAACAAATTGTGGTAGAGTTTTTTATTCCAAATTATGAAGAAGATTAACTCTCATACTCTAGTTGAAAAAAGACTTAAGTTAATATCTCAAAGTATATAATTCGGTATCCGTTTTTAAAAAACATCTGATTGATGCTGTTCATACATATACAGTAAGCCACTAAACATATGAGATAAATTACCAATCATTCAATAGTAGACTGCTATAAGAAACCTGGAAGCACTGTATGGCCGTTTCGTCTTACTGTGGGACTCACCAGCAGTACACATCCACGACCCACACACAAAGGGAATGAACAAAGGCTTCCGATCTTGGGTGAAAACGTTTAACCTCTAGTTTGCTGAGCCGAAATCCAACGGTGTTACTATCTTACTTCAATCAATTCACGATATTGCGCGACCTCATCCATTTTGTTCGGTGGGTAACTGCCTCACACTCGACACGGCTGAACTCCGCTGATCAAGGCTTCTCACTAAAACTCTAAGGATTTCTTCATAACACAAGTCATTCAGTCAGTCAGCAACAAAGTTGAACTTCGTATGTATGTACATCAGTTCATGTTGCCATACTACATTAGCACAGAGACACAACTGTTAATTCGAATTCCATAGTAGTAGAAGTATTAGCCGTAATTGAGAAGATTAGGGTTCAAAGATATAATTCAAGAAGTGGGATAAATTTAGAAAAAGAGAGGTGATGATTTCAGAAGACTATAATTTTAGAGAACACAAAGAATGGATGAACGATTTTGACCTAGGTCATTAGTGAGAACATGATAATTTTCATTATAGGGTTGCGGAAAAGAAACTCAGCAGTCTCCATCACCCTTTAATTAAAACTTATAACAAATGAGTGACTTGCTTAATAAACTTTATCAGTACTCCAATAACCATTACATTATATCTAATGTTGTAAACTAAATAAAACTAGTTTTTAAGACTTAAAGCTGTATGATTGTTCAAAATGATAGCCTTTGGAAAATAATACTAATCGATAACATTTGCGACAGACAAAATTATTATTTAAGTCTTTTTAAATTTGCAGCACGATTCGTCTGACATGACCAAGACATTGAAGAACCCAGCAACAGACCCCACACCCAGGAATGTGTTTCGGACCAAAATACAATTTCGTATCAGTTTCACTGAATAAGTACAAAAACAATGATAACAGTAGTATTTGGTCTCCGCTAACCAGCGAAGCACCCAGCTCCCACATATATTACATCCACAATGTCTCCTTACAAAGTCGGACTAGGGTCAAGCTCAACGGAATCTTCTTCCCCTGCTAAGTCTGCCAAGCTCGTTCCCTTGGCTGTGGTTTCGCTAGATAGTTTATAGGGACGGTGGGTATCCCTTTAATACATTCATGCGCGTCACTACTTGGATGACGAGGCATTTGGTTACCTTGAGAGAGCCCTGGGTAGGTGATATTGTTGATGGCTAATAATAAGTGACCGAGGCGATAATTTATCGTACTCTCACTACATCTAAGAATAACGTCCACATTCACAGTATCTACATATGCATTTTTTTGATATCTAAAACATTTAAGCTTAGCAAACATGTAAAACTATGAGATAAAATGGTTTAGATATAATCAACTGCTTTTTCATTTGTGGAAACAATATCAAGGCGTTATTTATTTGATGAAATTAATTGTAAAAAATTGTACGTTGAAAACTGTGATGAGCTTACGACAAAGAGCCTTTGTTTTAACGACAACAAATATGGTGATAGGAACAGGATTTCCAGTAGCAGCACAGATTTATAGAAAGTTTTTGACTAGACCTAGTCTGTTAAACAGAATATATGTTGTGCAATACTGTATTAATCTATGTGAAAGTTCTCATTTGATATTAAAAGAATGGTGCATTATGTCAACATTCGACCGTAAAGTGACTTATTTTAAAGGTAATGTATTTAAATTATAAACCAGCCGAAGAAGTAGCTGGAATTTCCGTACCTGCTATACAACTGACATTTAATGATGGCTGGCAAGGAAGAAGTTTGAAAATAAGGATATGGGCGGTGGGACTTATGACATTATACTAATTATTAGAGCTAGTCACTGCCGAGGCATATTACAATGCAGACTAGGCAATCACAATCTGCGTCTGGAGTGGTTAGATGATAAGGGTCGAAATAAGATTCACTGGGTTGGGAGCATTTATGTTGAATATTAAAAATCTTAAGTTTTAATATTATTTCCCACTTGTTGTTTCTCAACTTCTCCCATGAACCTCTAAAGATGCTTTTTATTTTTGGCTTTTTACTACATTTGATATCATTTCTACTGCATTGGATTATTTCTCACTGACCCCCTCCATGACATACATTGATTTTATGGCGTGTTGACTTGAAATATCTATTTCATCAGGTACTTGGGTATAAACCATTTTTCAAGTGTGGGGGAGAGTGAAAATTAACCGGTTGGCCGAATCGAGTTAAACATAGTGCGGATTGAACCTAGGACCTACAGGCTAAAAGTAAAAACCCCTTAAATACCAGAGAACTATCCCACTATATGGCACAGGAGATAGCATCCCGATTCACGCACTTTACTATTAATTATTGCATAGGATGCATATTAACTCTGGACAGTCTACCTCTGGTTGCAAACTATCCTAATACATTGATCAATCTAGATGCAATTTACTCTAGAATGTTGAAATTAAAACATAAGGTCAACATATTGACATTTCATGGATAAATCCATCTATTCGTATTCTAATAAATATCATTTCAATTCACTGATCACTGAATAGCGACTATTATCATGTTTAACTAGACCGAATTCTATCTATCAAGTCGCCAGCAAAGCACTATAGTCTAAGTGATGCGACATTGTGTACAATAAGCTAAAATGTTGGGTAGTTCGAGGTAGTCAACCGAACACCCTAAACCCAAGTTTTATCATCTTTACCTTGACTACATATTCAACCACAGAATGACATTTTCACCTTATATTTTCTAAATGTTATTGCCACGAATATACTAATTTGCCAAAATAACTTAGACATGGAACGTATGGATACTTCGATATAAAATTTTAAAAAGGCTAGAAATGAAATAAAAAGGGAGTTTTAAGCCCACTTACCGTCACCATTAGTCAGAAGAGTTAAGTGATAAGTGAAATTCCAAAATATTATTAAAATTTGCCAGTCGTTAAAATATCGTAAGCATGACATGATTATAACTGAAAATTCATATAAATTCTACTATATATATATATATATAACAGCCCCACAATTTTTTGACAAACTAGTATCACAGTAAGTTATTCAGTGTTCATAAATATACATACAATCTCATAATGGCGGAATGACTGGTAAAATCAGTTTGTTTATTCTTCATATATGAAATTATTAATTTTATTCATAAGAAATAGTCAGTTAAAAGTTTAAGTAAACATATCTTATAAAGAATTAGATGTTAACTAACAATGCATGTACTCATTATTTGCCTCACGTTAATTTGGATGACGATGTTACATATGAAAATTATAAAAAGACAAAATTATAAAATTATATACGGACAATCGAACCTGTCAAAATAATTCACTGCGTTTGAAAAACGATGTCTCAATTAACAATCAAATCAATGCGTAACCGAATATTATATTTAGTATTATTAGGACTTAGGTCTTTCACATCACTCAGGGAAATATTGATTAACTTAATGAGGTCAAAGAATGTTTTAATTGCACTCCATATTAACTAAGGTCATCATAAAAAGTGGATATTAGCTGCACTGGGAATTGAATAAACTAGCTACTTGACTGGAATAAACAAAAAGTAGACATGATTTGTAAAGTTGATAAATAAAAAATGAGTCCAGAGACATCAAAAACCAGTTGATGAGTTATTTCTGACACAAGTCGTGTATAACATGATATTCAAGTAAAACTTCCTCAAAACTGAAGAAACTCAAGACAATCTAGATAGATGTTAAAAAACTCATAGTTTCGTAATCACTGCTGTTTCGACAATATTAAGAGAAGTGAATAGGCTGAGTTTCAAGGGCTTAATAAACGAGTTGCCTGTAACACTACACTTACATCAGGCATAACTGATTTTCGTTGTTCCATCATGTTACGCATTTTACAAAAGCAAATAAATTATATATTCGTAGCACAGTCAGTCACTCAGTCACAACGTAGAACTTTGTAAATGAGTACATAAGTTCAGGTTGCCATACCCAATCACCACAGAGATTCATTTGTTTGTTCAAATCCCATAGTGATACAGACAGTAGAAGTATTAGCAGTAATGGAGATTAGGGTTCGAAGATATGATTCGAGAAATATAATTCAGTGAGATAAATTTAGAAGGAGAAAGATAGAGACAATGACAAATTAAGAAGGTTAGAATTTGAGAGAACACAGTGGATGAATGCACATGCACCATTGCAAGCTTTTCTGAGCCATGTCGTTCAAGGTCGCTAACCATCGGTGACTTTCGTCTCGCCTACAAAAACAGGTAGCCTACATCTACCAATATGACTCAGTCCACTTGTCAGTGACCTCATGGATTGCTGTCATGTTTTGGTTTGGCCGCCCCTAGCTTTCGTCCAGCCTATTCCTACACCGAAAAATATAGCTCGACGAGGCAGTCGGTGGTCAGGCATACACAGCACATGTCCCAACCACCTCAACTGATGAGGTTTCAATATTTCATCTATTGATCTGCCATCCTTACCTAGCACCCGTTTCCTAATAACAGCGTTGCTCACTCGGTTGTCCCAGGATATACGATGAATGCTTTGAATACACCTATGATTAAATACTTATAGTCTACGTATATCCTCTACTCTTACCGGCCATGTTTCACAGCCATGTAGTAGGACGGAACGAACTACTGCGCAGTACACTCGTCCTTTTGCTAACAAACGGATATCTCGCCTGCACCATAGGTGATGCAAGTTGGCGAAAACCATTCAAGCCTTCTGTATCCGTGCTGAGATTTCGTCAGTCATCAGGCTATCAGCACTGATGAGTTTCCCGAGATAAGCGAAGCGGTCGACAAGCTGGACCACTTCACTTCCTATCACTAGTTCAGGTGCCGATGCAACCCAATCTTGAAGCAACATTTTGCATTTCGAGGGGGGAAACTGCATCTCGAACATGCTTGCATTGTTGCTTAGGGTAGTCAGAAGACTATACATTTTGTCAGCGTCTTCACCGAATAGAACTATGTCATCAGAATACTCGAAATCAGCGAACGTGTCTATTGGTAAAAGGTCCACTCCTGAAAAGTCAGACGATGACAATGTTAACTCTAAAAGCATATCTACGACAGTTATACAAGAATGGAGAGAGTGAACAGCCCTGACTCACACCACTTGAAGTGACCAATTCCGATGACACTTCGCTATAAGCTATAAATCGACCTGTAGTGTTCGAGTAGAGAGCTTGTACTTCTTTTATTTACAGACACTGCCACAGAATCTCACAATCAACAGAGTTGAATGCCGCTTTAAGGTCGAGAAATACTTTTATTGTGGGGCGTCTAAACGTGTCTTTGCTCTAGGAGTTGACGTAGTGTGTGAATATCTGATCTATACGTCCACGTCCAGGTCGAAAACGAGAATAGTTTCCTCTAGTCTGCACTTCACGAGCTCCAGTTAGGCGTCGGAGTATTACTGAGGCCAATATTTCCGATTCTATATTAGTCAGACTTATTCCTCTATGATTATCACTAGAAGACATTTGTCCTTTCTTAAAAATTGGGGCAGTCAGCGATTAAGATCAGTCAGATGGGATTAGGCCCAGTTCTCAGATTCTACCTAAGATCTCAGTCCATTGAAATGTTAAAACTGGACCACCGTCCTTAAAAATTTCCGGGTTAAGCCTATCAGGACCCACTGCTCTTCCTCGCCTCAGATTTTCTATAGCGCGCTGGAACTATGGCATTGACCTGAATCTAAGCATGTGCCCCAGAACGAGTGACAGTCCTCTATCGAACATCTCAATTGGTGGCTGAGTGCGATGTGGTCCAGTTTGGTCCAGCGTTGAGACGATTTTGGGGGTCACCAGGTCAAGATGTTTTTCTTTATGCTTAAAGTTAGTGTTTGCTACACAAAGGAGAAGGTCCGAAAGCTTTCTGTAAAACTCATCTCTCACCTCGTCTGAACTGCAGTCAGTGGGAGCGTAGGCAGATACAACGAAGAGGCAACGGCGAGTGTTCCTATCTTTCCGAGTCCTTACTGTAGCGTTCAGTCAGACAGCGCACAAGCGACTATCAACTGGGATCCAGTCTGGCAGAGCTAGTTCTGCCCTACGACTCAATGCTGTACATATGCCAGCGAGACCCCGAGAAGCAGCGTCAGGGCTTCCAGATACACGAAGAGTGGAACTAGCTGGTTCTTTATTTTGACAAGGTGAAGTCAAATTAATGATTTTATTAGGATCCTGTGTGCGTGTTTCGGTGACGCAACACTCATCGATGGCACTGCATTCTAGAGTCCTAGGTAAAGAAGCCTGTTGCCCTATTTGACAATGTCAGGACATTTAATGCTCCAACATCTAGTCCATAGCGAATTTTCAGGAGACCAGGAATAACGTTTCGTGAACTTGAATCGTTTGCTTTAGCGGTACGAGGTGATAAAGGAATTTGAGAAGAGTTAGTCGTGGAAATAAGAGAGATGTTAGGGGGTGTAGGAAGAATTTGATTACGGCTAATCCGGTCTCGTGTGCTGTTATGGGTGAGGGAGGATATCACTTCACCACTGCCCGCACCGTGGAAGGCTGCTTCTTGAAGGACCTGAGAAGGAAGGTAGATTAGTGTCGGTCTTAAGGACTTGAGAGCGCGACCGTAGAGCCCGAGGAACAACTGCTTGATGACGGTCACGCACGGCCTTTCCATGAGAACTTTTTAAAGCAACAGCTCCATTCTTGTTTAAAGGCCTTACCGCCGGAGACGTGAATCCGTGAGGTAAGGTGAGGTGTGACATTTTTAGGGTCGACCTTTTCTAATCCCTTCTTTCCGTATGAGAAGGCAGCATCGCCGCAGATGCTTGTCGGGATGTCCATAGCATAACTAAATTACTACTACAAACTTCATTTTAGTAACTCATCTAACAAGCGAACATTTGTATAGTAAGCTTTGTGTTACATTCCAAGTCTGAGGATCAGCACCACTCCCCAGCTGACCGAATTAAAAAAGGTAGGAGGTCGATCGAACTACTAGCTGGAAATTTAACTTCTTAACCACTTGTCAGTGATAAACGAAAGGGTACTTTTATGAGGACCAGACGTCAATCAGAATTTCTACAACATAAACAGCACACTTCGGTCCTGTGGCGCAACCGTAAAGGTATTAAGAAACCTGGTACACCAGAAATAAAATCTAGCAGCAAACGAAAGCAGAACACTGGTTGCCGTTATTACCTGAGTAATTCAGCAAGCAATGCTATAGTTAGGAAACGAGTATTAGGTAGGGATGGCATAGCAATTGATGAATTAGTGAGACTCCATCAGTTGAGGAGGTTGGAACATGTGTTACATATGCCCAACTATCAACTGCCTCGACGAGCTATGTTTTGTGGTGTAGGTTGAAAGAAAGCTAGGGGCGGCCAAACCAAAACATGACAGCAATCCATGAGGTCACTGACAAGTGGACTGAGTCATATTGGTAGATGTAGGCTACCTGTTTTTGTAGGCGAGACGAAAGTCACCGATGGTTAGCGACCTTGAACGACATGGCTCAGAAAAGCTTGCAATGGTGCATGTGCATTCATCCACTGTGTTCTCTCAAATTCTAACCTTCTTAATTTGTCATTGTCTCTATCTTTCTCCTTCTAAATTTATCTCACTGAATTATATTTCTCGAATCATATCTTCGAACCCTAATCTCCATTACTGCTAATACTTCTGTGGTGCTGTGTTGCGAACTACTTATAAGTAGTATATAGCGTGAGTGTCAACGTAAAGTCTGGTAGCATAATATGGGGGGAAGATCAAGAAAGGAACAGTCAGAAAACAATGGAATTTGTATGAAACGCATGAAGAGTGACAATGGATTGATGTTTGGCAACAGGAACAGTCCAGTTCCATAGGATGAACTGATCTTTTGCAAATGAACGATTTACGATATGGTTTTCCGATTTTACTGACTAACTCTGTAATTTTCGTTAAATACAATTCGGTTGCCCCCACCTGTGTTCTCATTCACTACATTTGGTGTCGCTGCCTGCTCGAAGGAAGGGGCTCCCGTGGCCGAAGGAGTTGCAGGACGGAGATTGGCGGAGCTTCCTGGAGGAGTTTGGGGCCACGGTGGAGCTGGTGGGGGCTTGGGGCGGAGTTGACGGTGCTGGGGACGCTGTGGGGAGGTGAGGCGAAGGCGGTGCACGACAGCCTGGACGGTGCCACCAAGGAGACGGCGTGGGAGACGGTCACCGGGCGGCTGATAATGGAGTTCGACAGCCCAGCGGACAGGGAGGAGGCGCCGCAGAGGTTCCGGTTGGCGCGGCTGTCGGCCGATGGTGACCTGTTGGTGCTTGCTGTGGAGCTCACCGGATTGCGCCGTGAGGAGTGGACGGGGCACAGTCTTTGGCGTCGCAATTTATCGAGTGTGTGCCTGCCGCCGTGTTCCAGCATCGGGAACTTGTGGACGCTACACGTTGGATAGAAGCCGTATCCATTCCAGACCAGTGATCAAGAACGATGACCGAAGTGGTAATCCGGCATAGTGTAGCGTGTCACGGAATACGGAAGGTGATATTAACTGACCAGGAGCTCTGTTTTGAAGGACCACGACGACAGCTTATTAAAAGGGGGGACGAGTGTGGTGCTGTGTTGCGAACTACTTATAAGTAGTATATAGCGTGAGTGTCAACGTAAAGTCTGGTAGCATAATATGGGGGGAAGATCAAGAAAGGAACAGTCAGAAAACAATGGAATTTGTATGAAACGCATGAAGAGTGACAATGGATTGATGTTTGGCAACAGGAACAGTCCAGTTCCATAGGATGAACTGATCTTTTGCAAATGAACGATTTACGATATGGTTTTCCGATTTTACTGACTAACTCTGTAATTTTCGTTAAATACAATTCGGTTGCCCCCACCTGTGTTCTCATTCACTACACTTCTACTGTCTGTATCACTATGGGATTTGAACAAACAAATGAATCTCTGTGGTGATTGGGTATGGCAACCTGAACTTATGTACTCATATACAAAGTTCTACGTTATGATTAAATGACCTGAATAAATCGTAAGAGCCATATTTAGCTACTAGTCAGTTCATCATAGATTGTTCATAAATATTATTTATCCAGTTAGTTAACAGTTCAAAAAAGTACTTTCTAAATGCACAAAAAGCAAAAGCACGAATTCAGTAGCCCACATGACAATGAGCTAGATTCTAGTTAGCAGTCATTAGTAAGAAAATCTTTCCGACTGGTCATTATTTAGTAGTAGGCCACTTTCATAAACAGCAACGTAAAAATTTTTCATTGCGACTAGAAAGTCAGCCACTCTTCACATTACAGTCAGTCAGATGCAGTGCGTATTCAGCATGATCATTAAGTTACTTGATGCTCTACATGACCTTATAATCATACAAAGTAGTCCATGCATTTGGAATGATGTTGCCCGTGAACCATAATTGTGAAGAGTAAGCACATGTAAAACGTACAAAATTTGCACAGTAATTTTTTTTACATTAGACGGTTACATAATAGTCAACTTTATGGGTCTCAAGTACTATTTCTATTGCCATTAAACTAGTAGATTTATTAAGTAATTCGTTTAAAGATAACTTTCTACATTGCTGCTAGCAACAAATTCAAAATTTTGTAAAATGAGGCACTTAGTCTGACACAGCTAGCCCTGAACAATGAAGACTGGTAGCTTTTTATTAGCTTTCAGTATCACGAGAATCCAAGAAGCACCAGAAAAAAAAATTAGGATCACTCTTGTTCTTAACAAGTCGAACTAAACCACAATATTGGGAAAAACGTCTACTAAAGTGGTGATACAAGGTACCTGAATAATCCACTCTTATATTTAAGATGTAAACAGGATTCACAACATAAAAAGCCTGTAACAGTACTCAAAATTTTAGACAAACATTATTTTTCCGCGGTTAACTATTGCATGAAACAACCGGGCGAAGTGGAACCCGCTATGGATTTGCGTGCCAATTCTAACGCTGTATCTATTGTGAAATGAACAAATGCAGTGGGACCAGAGGTTTCAAAATCCTCAGGTCAGAATTTGATAGCAAGAGTATACAACACTAGTAGGCTGAAATTATATCCTCTAAATACGAGCAATAATGCAAGCATGTTCGAGATGCAGTTTCCCCCCTCGAAATGCAAAATGTTGCTTCAAGATTGGGTTGCATCGGCACCTGAACTAGTGATAGGAAGTGAAGTGGTCCAGCTTGTCGACCGCTTCGCTTATCTCGGGAAACTCATCAGTGCTGATAGCCTGATGACTGACGAAATCTCAGCACGGATACAGAAGGCTTGAATGGTTTTCGCCAACTTGCATCACCTATGGTGCAGGCGAGATATCCGTTTGTTAGCAAAAGGACGAGTGTACTGCGCAGTAGTTCGTTCCGTCCTACTACATGGCTGTGAAACATGGCCGGTAAGAGTAGAGGATATACGTAGACTATAAGTATTTAATCATAGGTGTATTCAAAGCATTCATCGTATATCCTGGGACAACCGAGTGAGCAACGCTGTTATTAGGAAACGGGTGCTAGGTAAGGATGGCAGATCAATAGATGAAATATTGAAACCTCATCAGTTGAGGTGGTTGGGACATGTGCTGTGTATGCCTGACCACCGACTGCCTCGTCGAGCTATATTTTTCGGTGTAGGAATAGGCTGGACGAAAGCTAGGGGCGGCCAGACCAAAACATGACAGCAATCCATGAGGTCATTGACAAGTGGACTGAGTCATGTCGGCAGGTGTCGACTACCTGGTTGGGGTCCGCGAGATGTTAGTAATCAATGGTTAGAGACCCTGATTGATATGGCTCAAAACCGTTTGCAATGGTGCCGGTGCATTTATTCTTTGTGTTCTCTCAAACCCTAAACTGTCGAACTCTTCATCACTTTATCTTTATAAGTCTATTTCATTATATTCTCCTTCTTGACTAGTATCTCCTCATCCTAACCTCTCCGACTACCGCTAATACCTTTACTACTGTCGGATTTGAATTGACGATTACATCTCTGTGCTAACGTGATATGGCATCATGAACTGATGTACGTACGTACGAGGTTCTACGTTGCTACTGATTGGAAACGCGTAAACGAACATCTTCGAATATCCTACATTAACCTGTGTAATGAATATACAGGCTACCGGAAATGAATGTCGTGATCTGGTCTGTGGCACCCTGTATATTACAAGCAGAAGCTTTACATAATGTTCGGGTTAATCTTGTTAAGAAAGTAAAAAAGGGAAACATTCTGAATTGATGTAATTTATCTGTATTGACTAAAACACCACAAAAGTGACTGGTAAAACATAGACATGAATTTGAAAAATATAAAATAGCTTGCATACAAAACGTAGTATTTAACCTAGTCCGGAGTATCATGATAAGAGCTCGACGACAAGATAGAGAATGTCAAAGACGAAAAATTCATCAAGACTATAAAATTAATACATTTAATAGCCACGATTAAGATTTGTTTTAAACAAAATGATTGCACACTCTGAAGTCAAAGTTCTTCCGAAAAATGATTAGAATATAGCTTATCTTTTTTCAAAGTATCGTCACCATCGACACTTCGTCCAGTTTCCACATATTCTGTAGGGAGGAATTACAAGATTCAGTAAGAACTCGTGTCTATTTTTGGTTCACAAATAAAAAATCGAACTTAATACTCTGAAAATACACATATAAGCCAATTATTAATGAAGCAAACATAATTGCGAAAAGATGTCCCTTAGCAAACCAACAAAACGTGCCAAATGAGACTAGAGATGCAGAGTATTTGAGGAATTCTTTTGTGTAAGTGACAGTCCATATTATTCTCTGTGTGTTACGATTGCGTGAGTTAAAGTTATGAACCGTTGACTGTGTTCCGAACTTACTAGATGTTTTCGAACCTTCTTCTGGTTTCGCAACCAACACACATCCACTGCTTGTCCGCTTGTATCCATTCTTGCAATCGCATTTAAAACTCCCAACTGTGTTTATGCAAATTTCTCCTTCGCTATTACAAATATTACTGTCAGCATTGCATTCATTGATATCTTCACATACATCTCCACTTCCTCTTTGGTAACCCTTTGCACAAGATTCACAATCATTTGCAGTCGAACCAGAACATTTATCGCAAGCGGAATGGCAAGAAACACATTCGTATGAACCAGGTTTGTTTAGACAAAAATGTGTAGATCTGTTGCAAGGATTATGATCACATTCATTTATATCAACACATCCTTTCTGATCACCAGAATCTACGTTTACCCATCCGACAGCACAAGCAGAACAATTTTCAGAAAATGGACCAGAACAACCACCGGAACACGACAAATGACATCGTATGCATGCCATCGAAAGGTCATTGTGGGACTGAAAGTGAGTTTCTAAGGTACACTTGTTGCATAGCTCTCCTGTATATCCGTCGTTGCATATACAACTTCCTGTTCCAGAACGTGTTCCATTACCATCACACCTGCCACCAGTAGGATAACATGATGGACATGAAAGACATGAAGTCCCGAAGGAATTAGCAGGACAGCAAAACTTTGTTCGATTGACACAAAGATCCTCTTCAAACCCCTCTATTTTATTAGCATCACTCCTAAAATCCCTAAGCCACCATTCTTCTAAATGATGCTCAATGTTTTCCAGAAACTCATGGCACTTAACTGCTTGCTTGGCATCACTGCAAATTCCTTCGATTATATCGTGGTAGCGTACTTCGCTAACAGAGTAACTTCCTAAGTGCTTTTCTTCCCACAGAGAATTTCCTCCTCCAAAATTTTTACCAGCTGATTTGCGAAATCCTAAAACAAAACCTTTTGCAACATTTTTACACTTTTCGCAATCATCACCACGTACGGTTAATGTTAGTTGCATGATATTACCAAGCAATAAGATCAACAAAGGAATCATTGTAATTTCTAGTACGTGAATTCGTTTTCAGTCCAAAGGCACGTGAATATCAGCCAGTCAAAGAACCTTTGGGTAGCGACTTCAGTATAGAGCGAAACTGAAAAAAAAATCGATATCCGTTAGAAGTGAACAACCAACCAATCAGTTTAATTAAAACATGCCGGAGCTGGGGTTCATACGAGTAAGATCGCGAACAACTGCAAAATTGTCAATACAAACAACCGCGATTCCACGTCCGGCAGGATCATTGGTTAACAGTCACCAACCTTCAATATGACCAGTATCCAATATCCAATATCTTTATCACACACTAGTAGAAACTAATTGGTTTGTTTACACTCATTTCTAGGAATTTGGTAATATTCCTTGAATGGTAGTCTAGCCACTCGACTGCACCAGTTTTAGTCAGTAAGCAGTTATATATGAATTTGAATGTCCTGTGATCTGAGTACATGCGTTTGATTCTAGGCAGTAGGGTTTCTGGTTACAAGTAGTTATCACATTACCATTTAAGACGTTATTTAACTTCAGTATGGAGAAGAAGAAGAAGAATTCTAATACTAATAAGATTTTAGAACTACGTCAACAAACAAGTCAATTAATTGTTAGTTAAGATTATGTGAGAGGACGAAAGTATAAGTAACGAAGAGGAAGCGTGGATATTAGGCGTGTTGGAATAAATTAGTGATCTGGAGAAATTACAGTTATAACAATTAGCAAGTTTCGAGACATGCATCATGTTCAGATGGTTCGAGAGGGAGCTGAAATTCCGCATTAAGTTGCGCATCACTGTCACTTATAGGGAGATGGGGTGCAAAGACATCGTGAACTTCTAGGCGTGGTCCAGTGTACGAAGAAAAACAAAATAGTTTGTTTAATCTTTAAGACATTTGGACATCTAACACCCTCTTTCTTCGATTTAATTAAATGATGGTGATGATAACGTTATTTTTAATACTAACCCATTACCAAGACAATAACCAATATAGCATAGGCTGTCGACCAGCATTCCCTAATCAACTTCGCGATGGGCCTTCCTTTCCATACCGAATCGATCGCTGTGTCCTCACGTTTTGTGAAAGTGTGTTCCTCTTTTCCTTCGGCTTTCAGGATTCAAAGTTATGGCTGGCCTCGTGACTCAGTTGGGTTATTACTGAAATATGTATTTTCCACCTTCAGTACTTCCTCTTAATCTAATCTTCACTTGGAAAATCGTTTGTTCTCTCCCACAGTAGGCTGTTGCTTATGATGTTTGGCCAAGTGATCTTCAGTGTCATTCGTAGACAATTAATAACTAATACCCATATCTTTCGGATGATGACTTTAGTAATTAGCAAGTTTCCGCTCCACACTGGACGTTAGCAGTAAAGATCCTGGGTTTGATGTTGGTTGGCGGTTTTTTTATTTCCAGATATCCTGCAACCTTTAAAAGGCAGCCCTTGCTTTGTGAATTCGAGTCTTCATATCTGTTTCAGATCCTCATTGTGTGTAAATTATATTGACCATATATGTAAAGATTTTCATATCTTCCACGGACTCTCTACGAAGTGTGATTTGGACGGTGCATTCTCTACTGAATTGAAGGATTTCGATTTTTCTCTTGTGTATGTTGAGACGTACGGTTGTTACACTTGCCGTCTCGACTTAAATTTTTTACTGCTTGTGGCGCTGAAGGGCTATATCACCTTCCAAGTCCTTGTCTTAAAACTGCATCTGAGATGTTCACTGTATTCCACATTCTCTTCGAGATGCTGAGGTCTTCGTTTTCATGTCAGCCATTTGAAGAAAGAGAAAAGGTGAGAGTAAGCAGCCTTGACTGGCGCACGCTTTTGCTTTTGTGAGCTGTCTTCCACTTGTGATAGTATCATAGTATCATAGTATCACCCTGTCCACGCTATCAAGCGCTTTCTAGTAGTCAGCGAGGTTGATGTATAGTATTAAGTTCTCTTTAAGTACTTTTTCCACAATAATCCGTAGTTCCATTCTTTAAGGAATCTAGCCTGATGATATCAAAGAAAGTTGCCTTTGGAATCCTTTATTCTGTTTAACAACACTCCGTCAGGACGCTTCCTGTCAGTGAGAGTAGAGTGATTCCCCTGTTGTTCTCATCATTGTTGAGATTAGGACGTGCCCTTCTTCCTTCATTCCTTTCAAATCGTGCCAAAGAGGGGATGGAGCATCTCTACAGTAACTTCTAATTCCTCTTTCAATGCCACAGCTGGTATGTTGTTTGGGTCTGCTATTTTACCAATCTTGATTTGCCTGACAGGCCTGCTGATTTCTCTGATTGATGTTGGGTCGAAAGCAGGTTAGAGGCCTGTATTTTCTGATTCAGTGTTCGGTGGGCTCAGCAGAGCTGATCTATTCAAGAGTGTCTCAGCGTGCTCCAACCACCTATTCTGCTATTCATGAATATCAGTGATTGTTTTGCTCTCCTTGTCCTTGACTAGTCATTCTGATTCGCCATGCATTTTAGCTAGATTCTCAGTGTGACTGCCTCATATTTCTTTCTCGTCAAACTATTTCCCTACTTAGTTTGAGTAAGTCTTAGGTCTTTCTGTGGTTATAAGGTTGAAAGTGCGTTCTGAGAAGACTCTAAGGAGCGAATTTCCTTTGAGAGCGTCAGTTTTTTTATCGTGTGTGACAGAATATTCACGAAGTGATATTGTGACTGGTTAATTTTAAACTTATTGTCTGCCTCTCAGTTCTCTATCGTTTTAGGTCCTTTTGGATCTTAACGAATCCTCTTCGCTTTTACGGACATCCAGATCTTGGCCTTGTCTGTGTAGATCGAGGTCGCTGAGCTCATTTCATTACGTAATCACTAGTAAATATCAAAAGAGTAGTCAATCTAAGGTGGTTCTCTGTGAAACTCTTGACGTTGAAACTCGCCATGTACAATGAATTCTATTTATGGTGGTAAGAAACTTTCTGTTCTAAAATTACTTTCTGAATGAAGATATAAATGGATCGGTGCCATCCACAACCGTTTGCTGAAGGTAGATGTACTTACGAATCGCTCACCGTTTTCGTTTCTTTCTGCTAATTCATGTCATCTTATGATGACTTCCTGTTCGATGTTTGTATTCCAATATCGGAATTTAGATCGGTCACCGAAATGATCAGGTTCTTTTCTGCGCATTTGTAAAAGATTGAGTGCCGCCTTTAATAAAATTAGTCGTTGTCGTCTTGGTTATTATCGTCGGTGGGTGCACAGCATGAAATGTCATTAATCGTAGCAGACCACTTTGTTTATTCAGTAAGATTATCGGATTACCTTGCGACCATGAGATCCTCATCTTATCAGCGCTTTTTGAACCTCTCTGGATAGCATCAATATAACTTCTTAGGTATGTGAGGTCACTTGTAGTGTTATGGAATCACAGCTTTATCGGATTTTCGATGACGACTAGACAAAGCACTACCGTTTTCAAAGAACTGAAATAACACCGAAGGAAATTTTGAATTATCTTGTGCTTTTTACAAACTAGGAAAGGATTAGAATTCCAAAATCTGAGTAACTCAATGTTAAAATTTTCAGGATTAAGTTACAATACAGGGTTAGCTAGTTGATTATGCCCACCTAACCTTTTTGGTCACGTGTAGGGAGTTCTCGCTGTTACCTGTTGCTCGTGTAATTATTGATTCAGGTGGTTGTTTTAATACCAAATATTGCGGTTTATTGTCTATATATGGAGGTTTCAGTCTCGCAGTGCACATTCTGTTCGTCTCCATGTTTCGGTATCACGTAATATTTAGGTTTTCCTAGGACTACGTGGAATCGCTCATCAAATGAGGACTAAGTTGGGAGTTCATTTTGGTGAATCCTACAAGACGTGCGTTCATGAGCTTAGATCGTTTTATATGAATATGGCTCATGACTGTTCATGAGTATTAACCGGGTTACTTCTCGCATTTCATCTTTCAGTTTGTCGAATTAGCCTGCTAGGTCGAGATTCTTGCTCTAACAAAAGGAATGACAAAATCACCTGATAGTTTTAGAGACGCTTCGAAATCTATTTTCCCACAGAGCATCATGAGCCAGTTTTGACGGCTCTTCTTATTGCTAACATAATTGATCGAGGTTTGAGAAAGATACTGGGGCTGCTTTTAACCGATGAGGGAAACGTTCCAACTCTGTTAACCAGGCAATTATATGTTGAGCACCGTATTCTATTGAAACCTAGATGTTTGGACAAGTCGTTGAATAGATGATGTTTGAATTGGGCTCCTCTAGCAGTTATTATTGTGATGAATGACATGAAAACTGTTACCCAGTTCCGAGTGAAGGCTTCAGCCACTGTTTAAGTTGTGATGTCTGTTATTAGTATGGCTACTGATAATCTCGTACATCTGTCTATGCATGTAAGTAAACGATTAAAAATATGCAGACCTATCAGGCCTACATACAAAACCTGAGTTTGCTAGTGAGAAAACTGCAGTTAATTAAGTTGTTGGACACTCAGCCTTTGACTGTTGACACACATTTTCCAACCCGCCTATGTGCATCTTTTAGTAAGTTAGGTCAGAGATATTCAGTGTTGATTAGTTTTGTGGTAGCTTTCGTACCAGGATGAAAGAAGGAGTGGAAATTAATAGGTAATTATTATCGCAGGGTTTCGGGAAAAAATGGTGGAGATAACGTTTTTGTTGTGTCACAACATATTAAACTAGCTGCACTAACTGACAGGAGCAGTTTTAGTTCGAGACTGCACGTGGATTTTTTTATTCTTGATCTGGATATTCAGCACAAGTAGTTTGCCAGGTCGAGCTTTCGACTTAAAATACAGGAAGCAACAAGCTCAGCAGGTAGATTTTAGTGTCTTTAAAACGAAAACTGCTACCGAACATCCAAATCAGGTATAAAAGTTGTTCTTATTCCCATCATAACTAATTGTACGAATTCTGTCCACTGATTTTCGTTTAAACTTTGGGTTTAGGGTTAGGATTTCCCTATCAGTTTTTAATTTTTTAAGGCGCACCAAAAGTGATTACACAGTACTCAATGAAAGCTTTAGGCACCCTTATTCGTGCGTTGTCAGTCATTGGTTCGGCTGCTGAGAAACTCATAAATATGTTCATGTAGATAAACAAATAGTTTAAACTAAAGAATGAGACCTATTTAGTCAGCATGAACATGGACGTAACATA